AGACTATAATAATCCACGCCCATACTTGAAAAGACCTATTATGCCCTAATAACAATGCCAATAATGATGATGATAGTCCATTAGCTCCCCCCACTTTCTTTATTTCTTTCTTCCTAAGGAATCAGCTCTATGTGGTGGGTGGACAGATTTATCGAGCCCCAAATAATTTGGAAATCTACAAACTCATGTGAACATCCCCAATATTCTATTTGTAGGATACACACTTGGTATTTTTAGAATTTCTCGTGTGTTTTTGGCATATTGTGTTCGTAATATAAAATGCGTGAAACTCACTGTATTTTATAAGATTCGACATTTTTGTGTAAGAGTTACAATTCATACTTTGACACAATATTTCATACAATGCCATTTTTGAATTGTAGTCGTAAGCAATCATTTGCAATAAGTTGGTTGAACCAACTACTTAAGCAAGTTATTAAGCAGTGATTGAGAGAAACATGTGGTTCCACCTTGCACATTGTCATGGAAAAAGAGAAGTTTCACATCATTACACATAATACTACTTAAGCAAGTTATTAAGCAGTGATTGAGAGAAACATGTGGTTCCACCTTGCACATTGTCATGGAAAAAGAGAAGTTTCACATCATTACACATAATAGAACCCCAAACTCATCGAGACCTCACAAAATCTCAATATGTGTTGAGAGTAATTTTATGGATTAATTTTAAGTATCATTTCTTTTTTGTGGCATCTAAGTCATTTTATTACTGAACAAAAAAAAAAGTAATTTTAATATTGAACAATTAAATTAATTGACCTTACTAATGAGGTATTTGTTTAGTGGTACTTTTCTTCTCAATGTTATAATCAATTTCAAATTTGATCCATCTTCTCTCCTATTGATCCAAAAAACAAATAAATTAGGCGAAATTCTATAGCGAGGGTATTCAGAGAAATCATAGGGCTAATATGAAGGTCTACATCTATGATCCATATATAACACCGTCACCAAAAAACGACTCACTAGATGGGACCAAGATATTTGCCTTCAACTTTTTTCAGATTATCTACGAGCATAATGAAACAATTTGGGCCGATGTTAAACAGTACAGCCCAGCCCAAGTTTAATGGACGAAGACAATATCCACCAAAAACCTATTTTGGGCTAATTTCTGGGCCTTTGGGCCATCACTTTTTTTTAAAGCCTTGTACTTGGCTAAAATTGCCACAAAAAAAAAACTCTCTAAAAAAAAAGAAAAAGGAAAAAAAGAAGAAAATATAAGGGCAAATATCATCCGTTCATCAAACTGACAACATATCGACCGTGCGATTATCTCCACCTATACTTATAAACCCCTCATATCCTTAACCCCAAACCGGGTGCCAACAAAGCTAGGGTTTGCAGAGCTCCCGCCACCACATTTCAGATCTCACATCTGCAACTTCCACATTCGCGACAATGGCGACCCAAATGAGCAAGAAGCGAAAGGTCAGTCCTGCTTCTATCCTGTTTGTTTCCAGAGAAAACACAAGAAAATTCTATCTCAGGTTCAACTAAAGCTCTTGTCTTTATGTTTGGTAACAGTTCGTCGCCGACGGAGTGTTCTTCGCCGAGCTGAATGAAGTTCTCACGAGAGAGCTCGCCGAAGATGGCTACTCTGGCGTTGAAGTTAGGGTCACACCGATGCGTACCGAGATCATAATCAGAGCCACTCGTACCCAGAATGTGCTCGGTCGGTTTATCATTTTATATTGAAAAAATCTATTTTTGTGACCTTTTTTAATTTAGGCATGTATTTTGATGATTTATTGATTGTTCGTGTGCATTTTATAATAACTATAGGAGAGAAGGGGAGGAGGATTAGGGAGCTAACCTCAGTGGTACAGAAGAGGTTTAAGTTTCCAGAAAACAGTGTTGAGCTTTATGCTGAGAAGGTTAACAATAGAGGGCTTTGCGCTATTGCCCAAGCTGAGTCTCTCCGTTACAAGCTTCTTGGAGGCCTCGCTGTCCGCAGGTATATGATTTTATCTATATTTTTTTTCTATTAGTGATCTAATGATGAACAATTGTAATAAAGGCCTCTCTTTTTATTTATTTATAGCTTTTGATTTTGTTGGTGAGCTATGTTGTCAATCTGATACATTGTTTCGGTTTAAAATTAGGAATCTATTCTTTTGTATAGAAGTGTTATTTTCAATTCTACAATGTGCTGTTGAGACAGATTGGGGATGAGCTTATTTAGTGTTTGTGTTGGTTATTATCTGTTCTGTATCTGGATAGTGTGCTGTTTTGCAAATTTGGTTTTTGTCATCTACAAAGCATATTGGTGTTCTCGTACCAACTTTGTGTCGGAAGATGACGAAATTGATATATATACTCCATGCCATCATCCTCCTGAAATGCCATTGTTTTCATGCAGTAACCGTGAGGAGGGTACATTTTTATACATGGCTTCCTGTATACTTTCTTGTTAACAACTGTGTTTTAGCCTGGGTTTCTAATAGACCAGCCTCTGTTCATCAATGAGCCATTTATAGAGCAAATGGGGTTTGTTTGTATTGGGTTAGGTCTACAGGTGTTATATATAATTCAATAGTTTCGGTTCAAACTTCTGGCTGGGGCTTGAACATTTTCTTGGTAGTAGAATTTATTTTTTATTTGCGATATATGATGTATAGTTTTGCCTATTTGTGAGTTGTTTGTTTTCTGTCATCTACAAAGCATATTGGTGTTTTTGTACCTAATTTGTGTCGGAAGTTGACAAAATTGATTGACATCCTCCATGAGATAATCTTCATGAAATGCTTTTGTTTTCATGTTGCGATCTTAGGGAGGGCAAATCTTTCTATTGGACCGTTACTGTTAGTCTGGCCCGGTGTTTCTGACTCACATTTTGTATATTGTTTTGCCAATTTGTGAGATGGTAGTTTTATGTCATCTACAAAGCATGTTGGTGTTTTCGTACCAAATTTGTGTCGGAAGATGACGAAATTTGTTTACATCCCCTGTGAGATAATCCTCATGAGATGCTCTTGTTTTCATGTTGTAACCTTAGGGAGGGTACATCTTTCTAATGGATTGTTACTGTTATTTAGGCTTTGGGTTTCAGACACTCATCTAGTGTTACTCTCATTTTGTATTTGAAATATAAGCAGCATTGTTTTGCCAATTTGTGAAATGGTAGTTTTGTGTCATCTACAAAGCATGTTGGTGTTTTCGTACCAAATTTGTGTCGGAAGATGACGAAATTTATTTACTTCCTCTGTGAGATAATCCTCATGAAATGCTCTTGTTTTCATGTTGTAACCTTAGGGAGGGTACATCTTTCTAATGGATCGTTACTGTTATTTAGGCCTTGGGTTTCAGACAATCATCTAGTGTTACGTACATAATCTTGGGTATTGGTTTTCCCAGTTTTTCTACGTAATGCAATTGCCAATGACGATGATAAATTGTGATTCATGGATGGACCCCATTTATATGCAATTTTGTATACTGAATATATGCTTAATGACTAATCTACCATGAACTTTTCCTTTCAGGGCCTGCTATGGTGTTTTGAGATTTGTCATGGAAAGTGGGGCCAAGGGTTGTGAGGTTGGTCATTAGCAGTTTTTGATACTGGTTTTCCTATCCCGTTTTGAATTTGATGTTATATGTTATTGTTACATTATTAACAGGTGATATGTTATTGATATAGGTGATTGTTAGTGGAAAGCTAAGAGCACAGAGAGCCAAGTCCATGAAGTTCAAAGATGGGTACATGATTTCTTCTGGTCAGCCAGTTAATGAATACATCGATTCTGCTGTGAGGCATGTCCTCCTTAGACAGGTTTGTCCAGGTCACCTGTTTCTTCCTTCCGTAGTGCTTCATGCGTCGGTTTGTTCTGTACAAATGGTTCACTGTTATAAATGGTCTAATCACTTTTATGTATTTGCATACAGGGTGTACTTGGTATTAAGGTCAAGATTATGCTTGATTGGGATCCCAAGGGCAAGCAAGGCCCCATGACCCCCTTACCTGACCTTGTTACAATCCACCAACCGAAGGAGGATGAGTATTTCAGGCCGGCAGTGGCAGTAGCAGCAGCAGCAGCAGTAGTGGCAGCACCTGTTCTGGGCGCAACTGATATTGATGTCCCGCTGGTTGTGGCTTAAGTCCTTAACATATGTTCTGAGATAGTCATCCATTTTTTGTAACTTCAATCTCGAGTGTCTTAATTTTATTGTTTTCTTATGAAAAATTTTGCGTACCAAAAGATGGGGCACAGCGTTTCTCAAATTGTGTCGCACACAGACAATTTTGTTTAATATTTCGTTATTTTCAGAATTGTTTATGTTCTTTCCCTCTCTCCGTACCCGTTGTCTTTCTTTTTGTCAAAGCTCCCCCTGCGTTGTTCGAACACGACAAAGGGTTTTGCGGTTTTTATTGATGGGAAATATGATACTTCCAATTCACTTTCCGATAATAAAATGACGGCAATTGCCAGTTCAAAGTTAAAAGTTCTAGTCAAAGACTAGGCTTCAGCCACATTCTTCCATGAATGTTAAATAGGTAAGCAAAAGTCGTGTCCAGCACCTTATGCATGGTAATATGGTGATTTACTCCTCAAGTTCTACGTTCAATTTCCTCCTCTTTTAATATTGCTTGTAAAAAAAAAAATTCATGAGCGTTAGAGACAGTGTTTCGTTTCGTGCATTGCAAGTCTTACACGTTACAAAAGTGATCTTTAAAAAGTAGGAAAAGAAAAGTTTCAACACAAGTGTAAGTGCGTGTATGGAAGAAATGCTGTTTGCATGTTAGGAGCCAAGTATTTGATTTAAGGGGTTGGCGCGTTCCACCCAAGCTTCCACCTAGGCAGTGGTGCTTACACTTCTCAGTCATGCAAAACGGGCTCAGTGCTTCATCACCGTTTACCAAATGGGCAGGCAAGACCAAGCTCAGGTGAAGCAAAAGTGGGATCCACATGCACATCTTAGAAAGAACAAAAAAGAAGGTAAGACCAAACTCAGAAAACCTTATCCTGCAAGTAATAAAACAACAAAGCTGCCTTTAATGCAGTACTTACACTTAGAAATTGGTCCTCTCTGTCACATTTTTCTTGCAGCACATACTCAGAAATTGGTCCTCTCTGTTCTCTGTGTTGTAACTTGTGTTTATCAATGTTGTCATTTCTGTGTGCTGCTCTCATGGTTCTCTATGTTCCTTTGCCTCCAGAGGACCGCTTCTCTGAGTTTGAATTAATCCCTGAGGAGGATAATATCAGAACCCACCAACTGGAAATGATCAGCAGCAACATGCTGAATGGTTTGAGGAGCAGCTGGAAGCTGATCTCAAATGGTCTTTTGCTTTGAATGGGTACGCCTTCAAGTATTCAAACATGAAAAAAAAATTGAAAAAACCAACTCTTCTAACTGGGTTTACATTTTGATGAATCTTTTGGAATTTCTGCTGCAAGGTGAATCAAATTCAAATCAATTCCGAGAGAAATTAAATCATCAGTTCATTTTGTACAATACTAGTACTGGTTTTGATGCTCTCTCTCTCTCTCTCTCTCTCTCTCTCTCTCACAGTGTGTTGCATGCAGCAACAAGCGAGTTCTACGACATAGTTCTTTTGGACACAAAGCGATTTGGAAAGGTTGGCTAGCTATCACAATAAGGACTCTAAATCACACACACATATCAATTAATTGGTCACTGATATTTTTCTCTCTTTTTTGTTGTTGTTGGTATTTAGGCTCTGGTGATCGATGGGAAGTTGCAGAATGCTGAAAGAGATGAGTTTATTTACCATGAATGCTTGGTTCATCCTGCTCTTTTACTACATGACAAGTATATATGCGAATATATTTTTGGCTTAGCTTAATCCTTTTTTCTTTTTTCTTTTTCCCTTTTGTGTCTTATTTCTGTGTAATTGGTTTCAGCCCAAAAACAATATTTATAATGGGAGGTGGCGAAGGGTCAACAGCAAGAGAGTCACTAAAGCACAAAGATGTAGAGAAAGTTATCATGTGTGACATTGACAGGGTGTGATGCTTCTCAAATCATATATGAGATTTACCATTTAAGTGAAAGCTAAATGATCTTCCTTCTTGCTTTCATCCAAATCTGTATTTTTATCAGTGTTGGTTAAAATGTATATCTACTAGTAGGGAAATTTACTATTTGGTTGTGTACCAATGTCCTTCTTTAGCATGGCATCTGAAGGTGTTGCTTAACATGAATATTGCAGATGATTGTCGATTTTTGCCGAGAACATCTGACAGAAAATCAGGAGGCGTCTCGTGACGATAAGCTCCACATTGTTTTCAACGATGCAAAGTAAGTAAGTAGCTAGTTTGTCTTTCTTTTCTTTAATTTGTTGTCTAATCTCTCAATCGCAAGTGAAAGCCTTTAGGGCAGATATTATTAGCAGAAGATATTGGTTTTCGGTTGTTAAACAAGCCTTGATGTATGCCAGAAACAATCTTGGTCTGATAATGAACTGATATGTAAGAGTAATTAATGTGATTGAAGGGATGAGCTAGAGAAAACTGAAGAAAAGTTTGATGTGATTGTGGGAGACCTACCAGATCCAATAGAGGGAGGGCCTTGCAATGACCTTTACACCAAACCCTTCTATGAGCAAGTCATAAAACCCCACCTCAAAGACAATGGCATCTTTGTCACTCAAGTAAATACAGTAAACTAGTACGAATCAGGTAGCTTTGGTTCATTTCTTGAAACTTTTCCAAGTTGTTTCTTTATCTTGCTCGACGCTATCGATGAACAGGCTGGTCTGGCAGGAATTCTTTCCCATAAGGATATCTTCACTTCAATATACAACACTGTAAAACATGTGTTCAAATGTAAGCATTTCCCTTCATTTTCGGTTAGTACCTTGTTTCTCTGTTGCATGACAAAGGTTGCTTTCTGTAGATGTGATTGCATACACAGCTCATGTGCCATCTTATGCAGATTCAAGTGGATGGGTTTTGGTAAGTACTAATTAAGTAATTAACCACCATGAAATTAGAATTAACTGAGGAGGAATTTTCTATCGAACAATTTGCAACACATAGATCGAACAATTTGCCAAATTTAATGTAAGGCTACCTTAGATCGAACAATTTGCAACACATAGATGGGCATGGTTTGTACAGGAAGAGGAGAAAAATAGCTTTGGCTTTTTCTACGGTTAGTTGAATATATGCATATAGGCGAAATCTGACCATTAGTATGAATATATGCATGTTGGCGAAATCTGACAATTAGTACATTACCGAATTTAAATGAAGCTAGGTTTGATCAAACAATTTGCAAGTTGCATTTGATACACACATGAGCTTGGTTTGTACCATAAAGAGTAGAAAAAGCCTACACATTTTGCTAGCGTTAGTCTTCCAAACGCATAGGGTAAAATCTGACCGTTGATGCATTGTGAGTTCCACGTATGTAAATTATTGCGTGAGATGAGATGGTGATATAGTTACCATACTAGTATGACAAATCAATCAAAGATTGTTACAGATTAAAATCGTAAAGCAGAAGTGAAATTTAATTACAAACTTTAGAGCAAATAATCTTCTTTGTATGAAGAGTGAGTTTTTATTTTTTGGGGTCAGTTGTTTGAAGGGATAAGGAAGGGCGGTGACATAACTGTAATTTCAAAAGTTCGAGCGTCCTATAAAACTCGTAAATCGATTCGAAAATCAAAATCCCTTTTCTCTCTCGGTCGGTCATTTCCTGCAACAACCCGCCAATTACACTCCCTCGTAATTGACATACGCCTAGGGTTCCTCAGAATGCCGGTGCACCTGACGCCGAACGCGATCTCGGCGATCTCAGCTGGCGACTTGAACTCGAAGCCATTGGTGCAGGTAATCGATATTAAGCTCCTCGGCACGCAGGAGAGGTACCGTTTCATAGTCTCCGACGCCGTTTCGTGTCAGCACGCCATGGTCGCTACGCAGCTCAACGACCGAATCAAGACCAGCCAAGTCAAGAAAGGTTCCATCATCCAGCTCACCGAGTACATTTCCAGCTACTTCCAGAACCGCAAGTCCGTCTGTCTCTCTCTCTCTCTCTCTCTCTCTCTCTCTCTCTCATTTCCGATTTTTGGTTAATTAAGATTTATTTTGGTTTTGATATGAGATAATTGCTTGTGGTTAGAAAAAGCTAGAAATGTGTCTGATGATTTCAGGACTTAGCTAAATTGAAGTTATGGAATCGAAACGAGTGCTATATAGTCTTAATCAAAGTTGAATATTATTGTGGTTGTTTGAGCAGTGATCAGAGGCAATTTGCGTTTCAAATTTTGATTAAATCAGTTTATGAGCTAACATTAAGTATCAGAAGTAAAAGTTTCACTCTATGTAACAATATGTTCAGGTTTTTTAGGGGTGTCGGTTTGCATCTTGTCTCTAATAATTCAGTATTTTATTTTGATCTTGTGGATATGTCCAAGTTAGCAATGGTTTGCAATTTTGTGCTTGATGTTCATCTATCTTGAGAAACAAAGAATATTATCTGTGCAATAAAGCTAGGATGTGTTTTTTTTGGGTTGAATCACAAGCTATGATGAGGTAAATTTGTATTGAGAAAAAGAGAACTTAAAAACTAATGTAACTAGAGAGCTTAAAATCAGTGAGTTTTGACTTTCCGCTCTTTGTACAGGATTATTGTAGTGCTGAACATGGAAACTATCATACTGGACTCTGAGATTATTGGGGATCCAAAACCATTTGTAGAATCTGGTTCAACTGCTCAAAAGGCATTGCCGAATAACAATTTTGAGCACTCAGTCAGGGATAGCAATAACTATATGATTTCCCAAGAATCTGTACGCAATGTGCAGAGTCTCAGACCTACTTCTCATTCTGGGACCTCTCTTAACCGTGGGCCGAATCTCAGACCTACTTTTCATTCTGAAAACTCTGTTCACAATGTGCCAAATTTCCGACCTACTGTCCAACCTCCTTACCAACCACCTCCACAGTACAAAAATCATGGCTCAATCGTAAAGAACGAGGCACCGGCACGGATCATTCCTATTAATGCTCTGAATCCTTATCAGGGAAGGTGGGCTATCAAGGCAAGGGTCACAGCAAAAGGGGATCCCCGTCGGTATAATAATGCTCGAGGAGATGGTAAGGTTTTTTCNNNNTGGTAAGGTTTTTTCTTTCGATCTCCTTGACTCTGAAGGAGGGGAAATACGAGTGACCTGCTTCAATGCTGTTCTTGACCGCTTCTACGATACTATTGAGGTTGGTAGAGTTTACTTGATTTCAAAGGGTAGCTTGAAACCTGCCCAGAAGAACTTCAACCATCTGAAAAATGACTGGGAGATAACTTTGGATGCAAGTTCAACTGTGGAGCTCTGCCCTGACGAAGATGGTTCTATACCAGAGCAGAAGTTTTCCTTCAGGCATATTAGTGAAATTGAGAATGTTGATAGTAATTCTATCGTTGACATTATTGGTATTGTGATATCTGTCAACCCTTCTGTTCCTATTATGAGGAAGAATGGTATGGAAACTCAGAGAAGAATTGTGAATCTAAGGGATTGGTCAGGCAAGAGCGTTGAGCTAACCCTTTGGGGAGATGTCTGCAACAGGGAAGGTCAAAAGCTGGAAGATATGTTGGCTTCTGGGTTATTTCCAGTTTTAGCTGTCAAAGCTGGGAAGATTAATGATTTTAGCGGCAAGTCCGTAGGAACAATTCATTCTTCACAGCTGTTCATAAACCCAGATATCCCTGACTCTCATAGCTTGAGAGAGTGGTTTGATCGTGGGGGCAAGGATACTGCTTCTGTGTCGATTTCTAAAGACATTGTTCCAGGAGGAAGTAAGAATGAGATACGCAAAACTGTTTCTCAGATCAAGGATGAAGGTCTTGGAAGATCAGATAAGCCGGATTGGGTCACTGTGAAGGCCACGATATCTTTCATTAAAACAGATTCTTTCTGTTACACAGCTTGCCCATTGATGATTGGAGATAGACAGTGTAACAAAAAAGTGTCAAGGTCAGGAAACAGAGGATGGCAGTGTGACAGGTGCGATCAAGAATTTGAGGAGTGTGATTATAGATATCTGCTTCAAGCCCAAATTCAAGACAATACTGGTTTGACTTGGGCAACGGCTTTCCAGGAATCTGGGGAAGAGATCTTGGGTTGCTCAGCAAAGGACTTGTACTTGTTGAAAGAGCAGGATGATGCAAGATTCGGAGACATAGTTCGGAGCAGTATCTTTAACCAATTCCTTTTCAAGCTTAAAATCAAAGAGGAGACGTACGGTGACGAGCAGAAGGTGAAGATCACAGTCGTTAAGGCAGATAAGGTGAACTATTCTTCAGAGAGCAAGTACATGCTTGACATGATTTTGAAGTTTTCTAGGTAATGAACATGAGCAAGTTCGATTTAACGGTTTTAGTTAGACATAAAGAAATTGTAATTCGCATTAACTGAAAGAATGGTTTGTACAAGCTTTATATTAAATTACAATGATGAGCTGTCAAATACAGCTGTATAAGATTAGTTACAGATGGCTAACTAACAAACGATTTACTGCCTTTAAAAGGTTCACCATTTCCTCCTCAGCGGGATGGAATCTGAATCCACGCAGCAAGGGAAGCAACCATTCTTCTGTTGTGCTTCTCATCCCTCCTGTAACTGTTTTGGAAAATAGGAATAAGATTATCAAATGTTTGGCTTCAAAGAAGAAGCAGCAGAGCAGTGAAGTTGTATTTATAAACAAACTCACCAACCCACAGAGGAGATTCTTGTTCTGGTTGATTATTTTTGCCTCTCAACTGAAGAATTTCTTCTTTGTTCTGAAGCTATAGAAGCCGCCTTCACGGGCTGTGTTGTCACTGGTTTTTTCTTCTGAAAATAGCTGGAATCAATTCCAAACATCAAAAGTAAAATAAGATTAGTTGACAGCCAAATCATCCCCAAAACTTCAAACAACAAGACTTACAAATCTCACCTGCAGACACTGGTTTTTTGGTTAATTACCTTGGAAAATAGAGGACTAACTTTATCATCATCTTTGCATCTGTCACCAACTTCTAAAAATTCAAATGCATCTTTGTGTAACCGTGAAGCATGAGTTTCTACTCTTTCAATTCTCGCAGCTGACATTTCTGGAGGAGACAGTTCATGCAATACAGTGGCATTATTTCGGCTGGTAGAATCCAAGGAGTCCCACATAGTTTTTGGCGCAGCCAGGTCAGGTTGCTTATGAGAACTCAAGTTTAAGTCAACATTGCATTCCACAGTGCCACATGAATCTGCTAGTAAGAATTCTTTTAGATAAGTATTGTAAGTTAAACACAATGTGAATTGATAATGTTACTGGTTCAAATGCATTCCTAGAAATTAATGAAGTCCTACCAGTGGGAATAACAGACAAGTCCAAATAAGGAAGTGATCTGCCTAAATGAGGGGTTTCTGTTGCTTTAAGCTCAGCACTTGATAAAACTTGAGCTTCATCTCTTATCAATGCATGGGTTTTTCCTGGTTTACATAGAGTTGCAGCTCATAGGCAGATACATTATTTCCAAATTGACAAAAGATAGGCTTCATATTACATACCCCTCTGGAGTGCTTCAAATCTGCTTCATGATCTACTGAGCAGTTTTCAGGGAAAGTTTCTTCATAAGAATTGGTATTAGTACAAACAGAATTATTCAATTTGGTTATCAATGAGCAGTTATTTTCCACGGGCAGTGATTTCCTTTGTATATTAGACTCATGCATATCCTTTTTTCTTTTATTCTTTCAGCAGAAAGTAATCAATGGGGTGGTCAACTTGTTTCACGCAAGCTGAATCACCACCTAATTTATCTAACTTATTTCTAGAGAATGAATCAGTGTCTTCTAAGTTTGATGTAATCAATCTTGGCGAGCTACCATCACATTCAGAGCTGCTTTTTCTTTCAAATGCTGCTGCTGCTGCTGATAATTTTTGTCTTACAAAATCAGCAGTAATTACAGCGGAATTCATCACCAATTGAGAAACTAACCTCCCTCCAACAATATTATCATCAACCAATGCTCCAGCATTAGCATTTGACGATGAGCCTACTTTCTTGCCATTAGACTTATTCCCATATGCATCCCTTTGGGAAGGAACCTCATCAAGACTTGTCGGAACGGTTTTAATTGGTATTTGTCTTGTGCCAGATACTTCAATGTGTTTCTTTTCCTTATGGGGATTGTCTAGGCATTGGAGATGATACGACTGAAGGCATTTTCCACAGTGCTTCAGGTTACCCCCAACACAGCACACAAAACATACATGGCATACCTGCAAGAAAAAGAGGCAGGTGAGACATAATATAGCAATGACCTTAAAAATAAATTATAGGTCTAAGACAACTAAGAGAAGATCTTTATAGAAACCTAAATTAAAGAACCAAATCTACATGTTCATCTCAACTAGATACGCTTTCAAGGGTCGGTTGAATAGGGCACATTCTGGTGGTATCTGGTAATCCCTTAAAACCTTTTTCTTTTCAGTATTTTTTTAAAGAACAAAATTATTAGAGGAAAAATAGGGAAGGATGGATTAATAAATTATCTACATAAAGATGATTGACATACAACATATATCCCTATGAAACAAACTAAAAAAAGTCAACAGGTTCCAACTTTCTAAAATCCCACCGCAGAATTTCTGTTGTAATGTTCTGATGAACGCTTATCAATCAAATGAACTTGCAAGTCTGGTGGTTTGCTTAAAGAAGTATCATCGGGAGCAACAAAAAGTGAATTACGGCACTCATGTCCCTGTACAGGATCTGTTCTTGATTGCCGCTTTCGCTTATACGTTAGCAACACTTTGCTTCCTGACATTTAAGCTTTCAAAAAGAAATCTTGCTGCAATTCCAAACACTTGGACCGCATTTTTCACATGAAATTTGTATTTATTCCACTATGTTCAGTCTCATTTCAACACAGAAAAACCTGCATATGTTAAGGAAGAATATCCAATTAACTAAACAGCAAGTCATGACTCATATAGTTAATACAGTTATGAGTAGCAACACAATGATAGCTGAAGGGCAAAAGACGGATTTCGACTACTCTGAAATAGTGAATCACTATTACGAGGAATGCGGCAAACAAAAATTGTACTAACATTCTCCACCTAAAACACAGGCAGTGAGGTACAAGCATAAATGCCATTTGCATATTAAAGAATAAGCATAGCAAGAGAAGCTAAACGCATACCATTCACAGAAATGTTTAAACTTCAGAATCAATTTGAATTCAAGTAGGCCTAACGCATGCCATTCACAGAACCTTGTTATTGGCAAGACCATAGAAACTCCATGATAGGACAACTTCATCATTTCCTTCCACTGAAGACAGACACCAAGTCAGCAAATTTGTATTTTTTTCTTCTGCGCCATGTCGTCAGTGCGAAGAGAGAAGAATATAAGGCGGGAAACCGGGAGAGGAATGGAATTAGATGAATTAAGAGCCTCATGATCTGTTCTTCTATGGACCTGACTTGTGCTTCACTGCTTCGGCTTCCCAATCTCAAGCTCAAATTTGCAGCTAAATTTTTTCAATTTCGGGTTTCAGACTTTCAATCAATCGCAGTGTTTGAAAAGTCGGCCTAGGCAGGCGGCTAGGCGGACGCTAGGCGGCTAGGCGGTCGCTAGGCAGCTAGGTAGTAGCTAGGCGGGCGCCTAGGCGGGTCGGGTCTTTTTCCGATGCCGAACCCAGAGAACGAAGCAGTGACTGAGAGAAAGTTCCATCCTCTGCGAGTGCAAGCGTCGTGTTCGTTGGAATATATTTAAAGAGTATAGCCGCCTGGCTATACCTTTAAAATATTCGAATATAATTAGACAGTATAGCCGTACGGCTGTACGTTTATAATTTCTATTTATAGAGTCGAGCCTGGCGGCTATAATGCTAAAATATTGCATTTAAAGCTGATCGACTGTACTGTTAATATATTGTATTTAGAGAGTATAGTAATATATTGTATTTAGAGAGTATAGCCGCCCGGCTATACTGTTATAATTTCTATTTGTACATGTATTAAAATAAATAAAAGGTGTGATGCTAATAATAAGATCCAGGAAATAAATTATTCTTTCTTCATCTTTTTTCCCGCCTGGATCAACGAAAACTGTGGGTGTTCATCATTCTTAAAATGCTCCGGTCCTTCAAACTTGCGAGCAAGTTCAACCTATTCAACATGTAATAAGTGGTTAACCGTGAAAGCAAAGCATAACACTCCTTACATGATTGGCATTGAAGAAATATAAAAAAATTGAAACTAGTTCATCTTTCTATGATAAACCACATTGGTGGTTGCTCTATAAGAATTTAAATGTCAAAAAAAGATTTTATCCTTTCAGATTATATTTAATACCGCGCGCATCCCTTTCAAATTATACCCACATGGTCCTTATAATCCATTTACCGGACACCTTAAGGAACTTCAAAAACTATCCCAATAAGTTCGCGCATTTCCCAGTTGCCACTCACACTGCTAGTATAATTTCGGATGATTGTATTCTTAACTACTCTGCTTATTAGTAACCTATTTCCATTGTTTCCTTAATTATTATTATTTCCCTTTTAGAAAGCCACTGTTTCTATGTTAGATGTGTATAATCAAACTTCTAATGATTACTGCATCAATACAGATCCTGGTTTTTTAGTACAGTAGTATATTTATTTTTCACTTAAGTCATGTTCTGTTGATAAATTTTATCTTTTTGAACCAGAGCAATATCATTAACTCCAAAACTAAAAACAATATAAGAGAAAAGAAATGGCACATATACTCCAAAGGAAACATACCATACAAAAGAAGATGGAATATAAACGTATACCAATTTCTGAGCTATTGTTGCTGTGTCCTTTCGAGAATGAACGAATACCATTGCATGTTAACCTTGCCTAACTGAGTCAACAACCTGGCAGAAAAAATATCAATCAGTTAAATAATCATTCAAATACATACATTACACAAAGGAGAGCCTAAGGAAAAAGAAACCTTCTTGTAGCATATACCATTCTGCAATTCAATACGCGGGCTGTAAAATTCTGCTCACTAATGCATCGGCGATAACTAGAATCAAACAAGAAGAGTCCTGCTTCTGGATTCACTCTCAGAAACTGTAATTTAAATAGTATAGCCTTTTAAATATTAATGTTTAAAATTCTAAAGTGTATTTTTAGGAATTTTTGCGTAGGATTCTTTTCTGAAAACGAGTTTGATAGAAAAAATGAACGGGGTGTAACTGGTAGGTGAATAATCTACTAGATCCCTCCACTAGTTTATGAATCTTCGAGGTAATTTATTTCATTAAAAGTAAACTAAAGTCATAATTTCATTTAATATGTTGAAAGAGTACCAGAAGATGCCTTCTGCCATTACTCAGACTATTTTTTTTT